ATTGCAACAATAATTCAAATTTTATGAACTCAATTCCATTAAGAATATTTGGTAGGTATATGAATATATTAAAACAGAATATTATCATGCAATATGATAAAAGTTAACATGTTATATTATGCTTCATGAGTTCATATTTTTGATGGGAAATAAGTTTAAAATAAAATCGAATGAATTTAAACATTTCGTAGTATTTCTATGAATATCAATGATTTTGATAACTAGAGTTTAAAGTGTAAAAATAAATATATTTTTGAATACATTTTGAGTGTAAATAGGTCATAATATTCTAACCTTATATAGGAGACAGTATCTCTAGCTGAATGTTTACTTAATTTTTTTTTTGACGTTTGGGTAGGAATATATAGCGACTTATTCCATGCCAGAATATTTGTGGTAGTATAAAATTTGAATTTTATTCGGGTATGAAAAAGGTTATCATTATGAGCCAAAAAAAAAGAACCTTATATAGAGACATTTTGTTTGCTAAATAGTGCCGTATTGTCGAAAACTCTGTTCCATAGGTTAATAGACATCCGTACAATTTGCATAGTGTAGCGGATATTACGGTCCAGGAAAACACACAAGGAAGTCGTTACATCCGCGATGAGCATAATGTATACAGATCCTTTATATTGTATCACAACAATATGACTATGCTAAAATACTGTTGGGTTAACCTAACCCGAAGGGTAGGTTGTGGCTGACCAATTTCCGATAAACTAATCTAGAAATGATAATACTGTACAACATACATTCCTACGTGGTATGAATATATAATATATACCTTAAACCAGTTTTGTACATAAATAAATATAAACACGATACGGAATATAGACGTGTGTTGTGTGTATACATGTGTAATATTGTATATAGTAAATATACAAAAGTATATGGTACATAGGACCTGAATTATGTATATGAACTTATTTTTCTCTTTGTAATATAATGAATATTACTACTTAGTAGTGCAGTTAGTACCTAAGACCATTTTTGTAAAATAATTAGTCTGATTAGCTTAGGAATATTTATTGGTATTAAAATTATAAACTGGATTTGACAATTTTACTATTTAAATGAAATAAGGAGTGAAAGAGGTATCGTTGAAAAATATTTCTATCTAAGCAAAAAACCGAATTTTTTTAAATCATCATTTTTGATGCGTATATTCAATATTGTAGGCACCTATACAACATTTATTTATAACATACTTTAAACCTACTGAAACCGATTTAATTATATCATAAAAATTATGTGAATAACCTATAAAGTATTAAAAGTATTTTTATTTTATTAATATTTATAAAAATAAATTATAATATCAGATGATTTAAATGGCCAAAACCATTTTTAAAAAAAAGAAACGTGTACCTAAATGTTATAAAATAGCAATTTAAATTTAAAAAATCATAAATTACATAATTTTTTTAATTGCAAAATTTAAACCAGGTGTGAAATATATATTTATTAATTATAAAGATAAGTAATTGGATGTTAATGAAGACACCTTGCCGGTAAATTATGCTTAACCATTATAAGAATAATTTTATAAACTGTGTTTATTTACTAAGTACTTATAATACATCTTATATATATAAATGTATACTGTATATTTTACAAATATATATATTATGTTTGTGCATCATTTTATTTTTATGTTATTTTTAAGGGTTTATTTATGGAAATTTTCTAAGTTGCTAATTACAATTCCTCCACCCCCGCACTCACACTCATAATCACATAATAATGATGAAAAAAGGATTAATTATCTATCTTTTTTTTTTGTTACTGCTGATTTGAATATGAATTACATTAATAAAAAAATTTATTCTTTTTCGTTAATCTTTGGCGTTTCGCCAATTCTCTGGTACTTGTCGTTTAAATATAAATCGTGTGACGTGATAAAACGATCTGAAAATTCCCATCATGTATATATAAAAGCCGTTTGGGTACAATGGTTAAAGAAACATAACAAAAAAACAAAAACATCATCTACTTATATGTTGTAGACGTGTGTTTTTGTGAATGTGTACTGATTATGTTCGGGGAAAACAATACGACGGAAAGACAAGGGACACAGTATTGATCATACCCTCTGTTTGTTCTGCTACACTTTGAAGCTGAAAACGTCATCGCGTTAGATTGTGTAAAAGAAATTAAGCTCTTTTAGATATTGTTAGATAAACACTTAGAGCATATATACTCTCCTTATAATGTGGTGAAAATCAACAAAACGAGTCTAAAAAATATTAAAGGTATTTACGGATAGATTTATTATATAATATAGGTACATGTACATTTACGAAAATAATATGTTCGAGAGGTATTAATACTATGATAGTTATTTATTCGATATTTTCTATATAAAATAATATTAATAATGATTATGTGAAAATATATTATTATGATGATAAAAAAATATGAATTGTAACTATAATATTTGAGTAAATTGTAATAAAAAAATTAGTGATACTTTTAAAATTGTTGTTCATTTTATTTTAATATTTAAGAACACGATAATATTCAAATTATTTTATTTAGTTTAAATGGACATTTTTTTGACTAAAAATAGATAAGTCCAAATGTAATTATTGATATATTATTTTAAACTATTCATGATTTCTAAATTTGATCTATTCTGATTAGCATACAATAGTGGTTTAAATTGTTTTTATTATTTTATATTTTACTGAATAATGTATGCTAATCGTGTTTTATTTATTAAAAAAAAAAAAATGTATAGAAATTTAATAATATGTGTGTATGAACAGGCACATGATACGACATATTATTTTTTTCTAACTGCGAAATATTCATGGAACTATAACGACAAGGGTCCATAAGTTGGTGATGGATGATGGTCATGGATTATACTTTACCATCGTGAATAATATTATACTCCCTGTAATGTGTATTACATGATATATGTTTTAATATATTTTTATAATTTATAAGCCATTGACATAATTAAAACGTTTTTGAAAAGACTGCACATCCAAAAATAAAAAATATAATAGTTCAATAACAAATTCTTATTTTGTTGATTTATAGTAATCAAGTGGTTCGATAAAAAATATGATAAAAATATTACTATATCGTAATAATCATTTCAAGGTTAACAAATGTAATAGGTAATACACCAAAAATACAATGTTATAAAATAAATATTATTATTAGGTACCTGGTTATTTAATTAGATACGTTAGGAAATCGCAATTGAAATTACAAACAAAATAGTTGTATTCATGTAAAATTAAATATTTTTACAAGAATATGGCGTAACCTAACCTAACCTGTAGTACTTGTAGAACTGTTCTACTTAAAAATATAAATATAATTTTTTTTTAGTCCTATCATACCTTATGAGTTACTAATTCATGACAAGTAAGTGAATCAATGAAAGTAAACATTTTATGATGCAAATCATTTCAGGTTTCAACATTTTCAAAATTGTCTAAATTTGTTGAATTTGTCGAGAACGGATTAAATAGTTTTTTTATTTAATAAAATTATTTATTTAATTAAAACAGTAGTTTATAATATTATAATAAATACAAATTTCGGAAAAATCTATTTATTTTAAGGTTTGGGTATAAATGTAATTCTTTTTTTTTAATATACCGTTAAAATATACATTATGTTTCACTAAGAGTGAATCACCTTTATGGTGAGGGAGGGAGGTGTTTTTTTCCATTTTTATTATTGTCTCAGACGTAATTAATGATGCCAACAGATTGCTCTAGAAGTGAGTGATGAAATCAAATAGACTTTAAATGTTATCGCTTTGTTTTTATCCAACCATGGTAACTGTACAATACTCCAAACTAGATATGCTTTAACGAATTTGACTTTAAAATATGTATGTAATATAATAATTGAATAGAATACGGTATTGGTATACTTAGTGGGTAGACACACAGAACAATTGTGAAGTTGTGAGTGTATCCTATATTATGATGTTGTATCGTTTTTATAATCGTATATACCTAACTAATCAAAACTTACAAATGTTTAAAATCGGTTCATTGTTTTTTGGATAATTGTTTAAATTCTGGTATAACGTTAACGACATAATATCTACCATTTTTAAAGCTTTTAATTCATATAAAGTTCCTTTCCCATTTCGCAAAGTCAGTGGTTATAACGTATGCGTAACTTAAACTCATAAATATAATGTTGTATAGCATACCAATATATATTACACCTGTTAGGTAACTATATTCATTTGTTTTCAAATTGAGAACTCTATATATTTGTGATATGTTTATTTTATTTTTGTTAGGTACTTAGTTTTTCATAATCACAACAGGGAAACAACCATTTCAATTTACATATTTTGAAAATAAACGAATGCATCCGACATATTATTTAAAAAAAATGATAATTAAATAATTTATTACAATAGTGATGTCATCAATTGTATTACGTCAACGTCGATCAGTACTCAGCTAGACAAATGTAATAACAACACAATATGGAATATGGAAAACATTGTGGGATGTTTGTCAAACATAGAGATTTGAAAAAGATGAATGTTTCGCTCTTTGAGTGTTTTGTTGTTGGAAGAAAAGATCGTAATAGTGAGCAATTTATCATATTGTACTTTTTATATTTTTTTTTAACCATAACAGAATGTGCGTTTTAGTCACAATTTTAACGTTATTGCAAAAATAAAAGTAAGAGGGAACATAACCAGGGACCAATAAAAATGGCAGGCAATGACTCATGTTCGTTGAAGCGTCGTTTATCTGTTTCACTCACAACATGTCATTGGTAAAAAGTTTCTACTATGGTATGGTGGACGTATATAGTGTTGCATTCAAAGCTCGTGCATTTAAAATTAATTGCTAAATGCCCGGGTAGCCGGAAGTGAGTAAAAATTTGTGCTATTTTTTTGTGTGTTTAATAATAATGGCGTCGGTGAAAATAATTTCGAGATAAACCATAAACATGTGTGTTGAGTATTATAGTATTGTGTGTGTGTATTTTTTTTTCTGTACCGTTTTGATGATTGGAACTGTGTCTGAATTCGCAGCTTCTGTCAATGCACGTCTGAGTCGTGCCCGACGCGCCTGAGTCCCCTGAGCCGCCAACGTCTGAGCTGAGAGCAGGATTCCCGCCTGGATCCCATATAGAATAATTTTTTGTATAAATCAAACTAATCAATAATATACCTATAATTTTCATGACAATATATTGTTTTAGTTCAAATGGTTTTATGATTTAACAACATTTTCAGTATCATTATAGTAATAATATATTTTTTTCTCATAGGAATTAAAATAATATGATCAAATATGCTAGGCAATTGTGCCGAATACTAGCATTTAAATAAGTAGTTCAATAGAGCATTTTCATGAAAAAAAGGCGTTGTATGTAGTTAGTGAAATATGAATGCATGCATTAAATTATGTAAAAATTATTAAATTATGTACTTTTAACATGCTATTACATTTAAAAAAAAGTTAACATGTCATGATGATTATATTATACAGAATTAATATACAAACGAGCTTCAAATATGGTAAAATTTCATAAAATATGTAACTACTGTTTGAATATGTATTTCATGTTATTGAAATTAGAATATTTGAATAATATTAATCCTAAAAGCTACTACAGTAACTTCGAAGTTTTGAAACTTCTAATGAATTGGTAGGTAACCCTTAATGCTAAGAACTTCAGATTTAGGTAGTTTAAAATATATCATCTAGTTTATTTTTACTTTTATTTTTTGAGTTTGAGGGTAAACATCTACCTATGAAAACTGCATTGTTTTTATTTTCTACGAACAATTATTTTCATTATTAATCTGGTTTTTTATTTTGTATATGTGATAACATAATTGTATTGATTGTATTATGCAAATAAATTTTATTAGCATAACAAATATGAAAATTTTACCTGGTTTATATGATTAAAACATAAATAGTACGCACATTTTTAATTGAACATTATTTTATTTACAAAAAATTACAATTTAATATATCCTATAAAATATTATCTTCGACTAACAATATTATATTTTGAATCTGAGTAAAGGTGACGATTTATAGCAATTAAATATTCTCATTTAATATTCTGAATGAATGTATTGACTTTAAAATTATGTATGTGTGTGTGTGTGTGTTTTTGTGTGTCATCACCATTTAAAACAGTAAAAGTGTTTAGATTTTCAACTATGAGAGTGGTTATCTGAAGGTAAAAATGCACAGTAAATTTAAAATATACAGGAAAAACTGAAAAAAATAAGGGAAAACCGTAATTTTTACATATTATACTCAGTTTTTTGAAAAAATCGATTTTTTTTTTTTTGTAATTAAAAAAAATAATTATAGTAAATACTTTAAATTTTTTATGAAATGTTTATATTAGCATTTTCTATGCGTGTTAATATTTTGAGCTTTAAAGTTATACATAGGTATTTGACATTTTCGATTTGTTTTATTTTATTTAATTTTTAATCGATGAACTCGGTCGAAAGCATTGAAAAAGTAATACGAGTTTCCTCATTAGTTGTTCATATACCAATTAAAAAAAATATCGAAAATACATTGTTAAAATACTTTTTCATATAGGTTAAAGTTAGAATTTATGAAATTCGTCAACATCGCAAGTATAATATGTAAATTATTGTACAACTAAGAATTCATAAAATGTTTATATTCGTATCTAAGATTTAAAAATTGATTACAAGGTTCTTCATAGGTTGTTATTATTGAAAAAAAAAAATTGCGTTATAAATTCAACAAATGTTTTTTTATGTTCGTCTAAAGCTTAAAATTGTAATATTCACGAGTAAAATTACGGATTCTCGTCAAATGAATCTTATTTTGTTATTAAAAACAAATATCCCTTATAAATACTTAACATTTTCACTAACTTTTTATGACTGCATTTTCTATACATGGTATAATTTTCAAAATATTAAATTAGATATTAAAAAACGAAGGATAATGATTTCAGTTATTCTGTAATATTTAAAATATTATTCTTGATACTCGAAACTTTTAACGTAAGTTTATTATTATAAGCACGCACAAAATCATTTTCATATGCAATGTTTTCGGCAAAAATTAATTCAACCTACTGTATTCAGTACTAATTATAAAATAAACCGATATAATACATAGCAATATAAATGGACCATTAAAATATACTTAATAAAGTAGACCGTTGCTTGGTATGGTGCAGTCGTACGCTTAATCTGCTGAAACGTTCGGAGTGTATGTACCGGCCGGCTTTCCTAGCTCCCGGATGGGTAACCACACATCCTTATCACCCATACACAAAAACGTGTTACAATCATCATAAAAACCTACTAAACCTACACAAAAAAACACCCTACCTTAACACCCCGCATCTAATGCCCTATGTTGCTGCGGGTTCCCCCAAATAAAAAAAAAAATATATATATAATAGACCATCTCACTCAGAATCATTTTTTGTATGCAACGTTTTATCGTTGAATTCAAATTCAACTCATACATTACAGTGACTTTGTCAATGCCGAAGGTATATTCGACACCTACAATATGGCAGAGTGGTTATTTACATTTATACATACGTCCTCCTTTTTATATTTATACTTTGTACAATAATACTGCATAATAGGTATTCTGAATAGATAATTTGTGGTTTTATCAATATTATATTTTTTCTCAGTTATACAAGTAAATTTCGTAATACTGAATTCTAAAAATAATTTGTTAAGATGGATACACCATTATACTGCATCACGATGAGCGAAACGAGACGAGTGAGCACTAATCAGTTTATCTAACAGTAAATAGTTTTTTTATCCTAACCTTTTTAGGAAATTTAGGAATTTTAATAGGCGGTTCTTCTTAAATTGTTCTACTTTTAACAGAAAGTTTACTGGAAGGCCATTCTACATAAAAGTTAAAACCATGAGATATTTTCGTTTTTTAATCTTTTTTTTTTTTTAATTATCAAATTTGATTATCTATACAAGTGTGCTAGGATGACCTAACGTCTCCGTTCAGAATCTTATTCGTAGGAATATAGTATAATGACATCATTTAATATTAAAGTATTAAACTTACATAATTTATAAAATACTTTAGAATGATTATTGATTATATAATATTAAATTGAATAGTGCATTTATATTTATTGTTGTATTTAATAAATGTTCTCATCACATTCGTATCAGTTATTAAATCGTTCAATAATATTAGATAACCACTTTTAAAGTAATTTTTTTTAAATAAAAAAGTATAAGTTCCGTTTATACATTTTGACTGTTTAACGATTAGTAACCTTTTCAAGAAATACCTAGAGAGTCATGAAAAAAATAAAAATAAAATAATTTCAAGTATTTATTGCAAACATGAACATTTTAATGTTGTTGAAAATTGAATGAATTAATTCATATGCCCCAGCATCATATGTTCATATAATTAATTTTGGTGATTGTCTTGGGCAGTTGAATATAGGAGTATTTAAGTACATTTTTTTAAAAATATATAGAATATGAAAAGTAACACAAATTTATAAGTGAATTAATAAAGTACCACACATATTAAGTTACAAATCATCGAACATTTTCTTTAAACCAATATTCTTCAATTTATTTTCATTCAAAACATTGGCATTTATCAAATTGGTCCAATTCTCAGTGAGTTAATATAGTAGATACCTTTTAATAATATAATATTATTACAGTTAATCGAAAAAGATTTTTTACGATTGAAATTGTTTTCTGTATTTATTGTATAGGTGCATCATTACTCATTACTCATTAGTCGTTTTACATGTCATACAAATTACTTTGTTAAATAGAAATAAGTAACCGATCCTTTGTAATCATTTGTCAGGACTGTTCAGTGTTCAGTTCAACAGTCATAATGTTTGCCATTAAAAATCACTTATGGGACATACATTCATGATATGATAATACAATTTGTGACACTTTTCTGATGGTTGTGATATCATAATTTTTGTTATAATTTCATTCATAATAGTAATACAATTACAATAATAAATCAAAAATAAATAAGTAATACCACTTATTTACGTTACCTATAGTATCAGTAAAAATGTGTATAAGTGACATAGCGTAAATAAGAAATACATATTTAAAAAGTCTCAAACGTTCAGAAGGCTGATACAATAACTTTGTGTAGTGCCATGGTAACGACAGATCTGAAATGTTACGTAATAATAATATACCTACCTCTATACTTGTGCTAATTTTAAATTCCCAATTATGTTACATTGTTCTCTTATTCGTATAGGAAGTGTTTGGAAATTGAAACTCACTCTAAAACAACGCGGTTCATTGTGTTTAGACATCACCTACGTACACTCTATTCTATCGTATTAAGTACTTGGGTTAAGGTTTTAATTAAAACATACCGTTATAGAGTAACTTTACCAACGTGACCGGCGGGAACTGTAATTATTTTTAAAGCCCTTGGGAATATCGTGTCATTCGACATCAGGGAGGCATCCCTATTAAACATCAACCATCTTTGCTAGCCGAAATATTTCATATCGCATACAACACCGACACACCGTCGGTGACTGGTGAAATACTATCGTATAATTGAATTAATCTTCTGCCGGTTGTGCTTTATTGCGACGGCCGATGATATATTCAAGTATTTCTCGTCAAAATATTATTATATAATTCTCAAGAAATATCTTGAATTTAGGATCTACCTCATAAAGATTTGACGAGACTGATGACGTCGTTTTAAAATGATCGTGGTCAACTTTGAGTATTGTCTATTACAATCACAGAGGTACCTACTGCACCTACTAAACACACGATATGTGTACAGTTAATCTGTAGCAAGTCTTAGTAAGTCAACTTTAGACAAATCAACGATTATAAGAACCGTGTTTTATAAAGTATTTACCTACATCTAGAAAAACTATATTCAAGAAACAGAATGTTTCAAGCTAAATAATAAAATGACTATCAATCATACTAGCAGCTATAATAGCTCTCCATAATATATTTGTACTGTTATCTCTGTGTAGTACTGTTATTAGTATTACGTCGATAATAAATTATAAATAGCATGAAATAAATTAAGTAAGTAATCATATCATATTATTTCATGGACACAATGTATATAAAAATAGTACC